TGATGATGGTGATAGTGATGGTCATGCTGATGATGCTGATGAGGAGGAGGAGGAGGATGAGGAGTAGTGGGGGTGATGATGGTGATGATGCTACTGCTGATGATGATGCTGTTGATTCTGATTATGATGTTGGTGCTGCTGCGGCGGCTGCTTATGCTCCTGATGATAATGATGGCGGTGGTGCTGATGCTGATGCTGAGGATGAGGATGAGGATGAGGAGGAGGCGACCAGGGAGGATGCACATGAGGGTGAGGATGATGAGGGTGAACATAAGGATGAGGATGCGGTTCACGACGATGATGATGATGATGATGATGATGATGATGATGATGATGATTATGATGATAGTGCTGGTGATGATGATGATGATGATAATAATGATGATGATGCTGATGATGCTGATGCGAATGACGATGACGACGATGATGCTGATATTATTGGTGATAATGATGGCCCATGTGATGATGATGATGATGATGATGATGATGATGATGATGATGATGATGATGATGATGATGATGATGATGATGATGATGACGATGGTGATGGTGATGGTAACGATGATGATGCTGATGGTGATGCTGATGCTGATGATGATGATGATGATGATGATGATGATGATGATGGTGGTGGTGGTGGTGGTGGTGGTGGTGGTGGTGGTGGTGATGATGGTGGTGGTGATGATGATGGTGGTGGTGGTGGTAACGGTGGTGGTGGTGATAACGACGACGACGATGATGAGGAGGAGGAGGAGGAATCGGCTTATGATGATGATACTGATGATGCTGATGGTGGTTATGCTGATGAGGAGGACGAGGAGGAGGAGGAGAAGGAGGAGCAGGAGCAGGCGCAGGAGCAGGAGCAGGAGCAGGAGCAGGATGATGATGATGATTATGCTGCTGATGATGATGATGATGATGATGATGATGATGATGATGATGATGATGATGATGATGGTGATGATGTGATGAGGATGATGATGATGATGCTGATGCTGATGCTGATGCTGATGATGCTGATGCTGATGCTGATGCTGCTGCTGCTGATGCTGGTGCTGATGCTGCTGATGATGATGATGATCTTGTTGTTGTTGTTGTTGTTGATGTTGATGAGGAGGAGGAGGCGGAGAAGGAGGAGGAATAGGAAGGCCGTCACACGTAACCCTCTTCGTCTTCACTATTTGAGGAGCTCTCATGGAACACGTTCGGGCCGTCTCGGGGTTGCCGTGGCCTCTTGTGGAACAGTCATAAGGGGTCCCTTGGGGCCGTCTTGGAGCCCGCTTACGCCATCATGGGGCTCTCTTGGGTCGTCTTGTGGCCTTCTTGGCCGTATGGTGAGTGTCTGCGTGCCGTCGTGTCTTCTAAGGCCGTCTTGAGCCCTCAGAAGGCCCTGTAGGGCCGTCTTGGGGCCGTCTTGGATGCCTCTTGGACCATCGTAGGACCTTTTGTGCCATCTTGGGACTCTCTTTGGGGCCTCTTGGGCCGCCTTGGGGCCATTGTGTCTGCTCCTTGGGCCGTCTTGAGCCGACGGAAGCCTGAAAAGGCGAGAATGTGAAAATCATGCAACAATTTGCGGTACTGTAAATCACTGATTTGGGCTTCTTCGGGTTGGAGGTCCTCTTTGTGGCCATTTTGGGCCCGCTTGGAAGCATCGTGGGCCGCCTTGAGGCCATATTGGGCCGCCTTGGGGCGCCGTCTTCGAGGCATCTTGGGCCTTCTTGGTGTCCATGGCTGCTTGCAAGGGCTGTCTTGGAAGTTCGGGGCGCCTGCCAATTTTTGCTAGGGATCGTCGCCTCGGGATGGCGGCTTCATCGTTTCCTACGCAGGGTCGGGACCTCGGGAGGGGGGGGCGATGCATGGAGGGATCCGCCGCACGGGTGGGGGAGATCCCTTACTAGAGCGCAAAAACTTTACCAGACAGCTTTGGGCAGTCCTCCACGCCTCGACGTGCACAATGCACGGTGGCGGATCGTGGGGCCATGTTGAGCCAAAACGCGACACTCGGCATTCGGCCATCTTGGGCCCAAACACGACACTCGCCATGTCAGTAGCACCCGGCATTCGGCCGAGGCAGTACAATGGGGACCCATGCCAAGAGACACCCTGCTTGCTTCCAGGGTGCCCTGGGTTTCGTGGGTTTCGATGATTTTGCGATGGAAGGCGTGACGTTCGCACGCCAAAAATCAATGGACGCCCTGGGGTCTCAGGGTTGGGTTTCTCGTGGAAGGTTTCTTGTGGTCGGGCTTCCACTGTAGTCGCCGTCGTTTGAACCTCCGCCGGGGACCAGCACAGACGCCAGGTGTGCGACGCTCTCGGGGTGCGCCGCGCGTGCCAGGCGCGCGGCGCGCAACATGTGCACGCCAGGTGCCCAAAGCATCAAGCGTGTCGGGCGCGCCAGATGAGCCGCGGGTTCCACGTTCGCTACAGTGGAGGCCCGACCACAAGAAACCTTCCATAAGAAACCCAACCCTGGAACCCCGGGACGTTCATTGAGTTTTGGTGTGGGAGCGTCACGCTCTCCACAGCAAAACCATCGAAACCCAAGAAGCGCAAGCAGGGTGTTTCTTGGCATAGGCCCCCACTGTAAGCGCGCCACCTGCTCCAGTCGCGCCATGTGCGCGACGCGCACAGAGTGCGCCAGGTGCGCCAGAGCACGTGGCAGCACACATCGGGCAATCAGCCGACCCCCCCACTGCCCATGGCAAGAACCACTGGCGAAGTGACGGCGGGGAGGTCTGCATTGTATGCAACCTGTGCACCCGCAATGGGTTTGCATGTCTTTGTTGGCAGGGATAGTGAGACGACGCACAGCGGAAAAATGTTATCACGCCTTCACCACCAATTGCTGTCAACAAGAATCCATGGTAAGTGCTCGCGGGGTTCCGCTTACGATCCAGATGTTCCCGCCACGTGCAGTTTGCAATGTTGTCCCCAACCATCCTGTGGTGCTGGGTCCTCGTTTTGAAGCTGAGCGCTCCGCGTCTTATCACTCGCTCCTTCCACTACTTACTCCCATCCCTGCCGCTGCCCGCCGCATGTCCTCATCGCTCCACTGTTCCAACTTCCCTTCTGCCTCCCCTTCCTTGCTTCTGTCGCCCGCATTGGCAAATTTCGGAGTACCCCTCACACGCTTCGTGGCACCACAGGGAGCTCCACCGAAGGCCCTAGTGACAAAGGCCGAGTGCGTGTACGCGCAGACGTCGGCACACACCCGCACACGCTTCGTGGCCCCATGGGAAGCTCCACCGAAGGCCCCAGTGGCAAGAATCGCATGCGTGCCCGCGCCCATTTCAGCGCACCTCTCACACGTTTGGTGACCACATCGGGAGATCCACCGAAGGCCCAGTGGCAAAGGCCGCGTGCGTGTCTGCGCACACGTCGGCACACACCCGCACACGCTTCGTTGCACCATAGGGAGCTCCAACGAAGGCATGAGTGACAGGTGTCCGCATGCGTACGCGCGCCCTTGTCGGCACACACCCGCACACGCTTCGTGGCCCGATAGGGTGCTCCACCGAAGGCCCCGGTGGCAAAGACCGCATACGTGTCCTGGCCCATCTCGGCACACCCCTCACACGCTTCGTGTCTCGAGCTCCACTGAAGGTCCCAGTGGCAAAGACCGCGTGCGTGTCCGCGCCCACGACGGCACACCCCTCACACCGTTTCGTGGCCTTACGGGGAACCTGATCGAAGGTTCTGCCGCCCATTCTGGCACACCCCTCACACGGTTCGTTGCCCCGCAGGGAGCCCCACCGAAAACCCCAGTGACAGCGGTCGCATGGCGTCTCGGGTCGATTTCGGCACACCCTTCAAACGCCCCATCGCTCCTCTTCCCCGCTTCTCGTCCCGACCCCCCTGCTGTTCTTGTTCTGGCGTTGCGAAAACACGGAATTCGAAGACGAAAACGAACGCGGGCGAGAAAGTTACAGGTTGCGACAACGAAAACGAATGCCTGGTGACAAGTTCTTGTATAATTGTGTGTATATTCCTTCTACCTATCAAATTACAAGGAAAAACCCGGCATGTCACCGACACCCCCCCCCACATGGACCCCAGATGAACCCCACAGGCCCCCAAGAGAGCCCCACAATGCTTCGAGGCGGCCCAAAATGCCCCGAAGAGAGCGACACGAGGCCTACATCGGGAGCCCAAGACAGCAGAAGGCACTTCCCAGACGTCCTCTGCAAGGCCCAAGAGGCCTCAAGACGGCCCCAGAGTGCTCCAACAGGACCAAACATGGGCTCAAGACGGCCCAGGATGCCCCCGCAAAGACCTCCAATACGGCCTCAGCAGGCCAAAAACCTTAATTTTCCGTTGGTTTTTGAACGACTCTGTGCTTCTCGCCTTTTCTGGCCACGAACGGCCCAAGAATGGTCTGCGAGCTTCGAGGTCGCCCCGAAATGGCCTCCAGGCGGCCCAATGGGGCCCCAAGATGGGCCAATAAAGCGCCAAGAAAGGCAGGGAGCGCCCAAAAGACCCCTAAAAGACCTCCAAGAGGGCCCCAACAGAGCCACGGGATGCTTCAGAGAGGGCCCGAGAGAGCCCCAACACGGCCCCAGGACGGCCCAAGCCCCCCCAGACAGCCCACGAGGGCCCCAGGACAGCCCAAGAAGGCCCTCCGATGGTATACAAAAGCGCCAACAGGAGCTCCACTCAGTCTTAGAGCTGTCAAATTCATTACATTCTGATTGACCTGAGCCGTCGTCCTTGGCTCGGCTGGCCGCGCGCCGAATGGGCCCGCGTGGCAGAGAAGGAAAAGGAGCAGGAGGCGGGACGGAGGAGAAAAAGGAGGAAGAGGAAGGAACGGTGAGGATAGCGAGAAACAGGAGGGGCCCCAGGAAGACGGAAGGAGGGCAAGGAGGAGCAGGAGGAGGGGAGGGCAAACGGCGGAAACAGAAGACAGCTTTCACTGGGCCCCGTGCTCTCGCCGAGGCGCCGGCCACATCTCTCATTCAATATCGTGTTGCCGCTTCGCTCGCGGGACTCCCTGCCTCTACCAGGTCAGCATCCCGTCCTCCAGCATGCGGCCGCCGACTTTCCTCTCAATTCTTGACGCTTCGCGTATACCCACCTTGAGTCTGAGTTAGTCGCTCACGCTCGCCCTCTCCTCCTCTCTTGCCACCTGTGTCGCTTGTGGTTTGGCTGGAGCTTGGCGCCGAAACGGCGACTTCTCCCCGCCGTCCCGCCGCCGGTCGCCGCGCCTTGGCGTCCCCACCCGCTGGGATGTCTGTGCCGGTCTCCTGGCGCTTAATGTGGGTCATTTTGTCCCTTGCATGTGCATACGCCTCTGCGGCCAATTATCTTCGTTCCGCGCCCCGAACGCTACCCCGCTTCTTGACCTTCGCCAGGGAGCCGCCAACCAAACAAAGTATCCTCACCTTGATCACCTGGTCGCGCTGTACGCGTCCTCGCTTGTGGCTGGCTGGAGCTTGGCGCCTAAAGGGCGACTTCTCCCCGCCGTCCCGCCACCGGTCGCCGCGCCTTGGCGTCCCCACCCGCCGGGATGTCTGCGCCAGTCTTTGGCGTCTAATGTGGGTCATTTTGTCCCTTGCATGTGCATACGCCACTGCGGCCAATTATCTTCGTTCTGCGCCCCGAACGTTGCCCCGCTTCTTGACCTTCGCCAGGGAGCCGCCGACCAAAAAAGTATCCCCACCAGCCCGTCCAGAATTGATTGCCAGCTTTCCCGAGGCCTGTTGGAGGCTATCCTGAGCCATGCTCGACTAGAGTCTGTCAGAAGCTATTCTGAGCCATGCTCGGCTATGTCGGGCCATATTCAGGCTTTCTTGAGGCCTCTTGGAGATCTGTCGGAGGCTATCTTGAGCCATGCTTGGCTATCTTGGGCCATTTCGGAGGCCATCTTGGGCTATCTAGGGCTCTCTTGGAGCCATCTTGGGCCAAGAAGGGCGGGGTGGAGAATCTTCAGGAGAGGCTGGGAGGCCTCTCGGGGCCGTCTTGGGCCCCATTGTTCAAAAAGAGCGGGGGTCCTCAATTCAGGTCCCCCCCTCGGAGGCTCTCAAACGGCGTCTTGGGGACGTGTTGGAGCGCTCTTTGGAAGCCTCTTGGGCGATCTTGGGGCCGTCTTGGGCCTTCTTGGGCCCCTCTTGGGGCTCTTTTGGGCCATATTGGGGCCATCTTGATGCCTCAGGGGCCCATCGGAAGCGAAAAGACGAGAATGCCAAACACATGGACTTTCCTTAAGCTTTTGAAGGGTTCTGGCTTCTTGGAGGGCGCCGTGGAGGGCTCGAAGGGCACTTGGATCCGTCTTGAGGACTCTTGGAGGTGTGTCGGAGGCTATATTGACCCATCTTGAGGTATCTTGGGCCATCTTGGAGGCCATCTTGCGACTTGGAGCGCCTCTTGGAGCCATCTTGAGCCGTCTTGGACGCTCTAACGCCTCCATCCCCCCCCCTCCAGGTCCAGGGGAAGGTTACCCCTCCCCCGAGCAGGGGAAGGAAGGGGAAGAGAGAAGACCAAACTCGTTATACCACCGTAGCCCTAAAGGGCTGGTGGGACTTCCACCTATAGACTTCCAGCCTCCATCAGCTCAGCACTCCGACCTCTAGCGTCCGGCATCCGACTTTCCACCTTCACCTCCATTCAAGCGTCCACCAACGCTGCGCCCTGAGCCCCGCCCCGGGCGCTACCGCGCACTCGCCTCGCCTCGCCCCCGCTCGCACAATTCCCACACACCTCATTGAACAATTGTGTTCTCGCCCGCGCCCAGAAACATCGTAGGTGCAAGGATCAAGATTAGAAGGCGAAGCGCAGCGAGCCTTAAAATCTTGTATACATATATTTATACATATATATATATATAGATACATATATAAATGTATGGCCTCACGCGTGGCCACCGGGACGCTCGACCCCGTTCAGAGGGATCGTTGTTTCTTCCTGGATGGTTTTTGTATGGTCGCCAAAAACGATCGGTGCACTGTCCCGGCACTGCGAAACAACTAAACTTGTAAACGAAAGTGACCGCAGGCGCGAAAGTTACAGGTTGCGAAAACGAAGACGAATGCCTGGTGACAAGTTCTTGGAATCAGAAGCCCGAGCACGCGCCCGCCGCCGTCCCGCGCGCCTGCCCATGCCCCGTGCCCCCGCCCCTCGCACGCGCGTACCCGCGCAAGCGCAGTCGCGTCCGCGCCTCCGCGCTCGCGGACTCAAACGTACAACACGGGGCGAATCTATGGCGAAATAGCGACGAATTCTAAGGTGAATCAAAATCGAAATAAGATTGGAATTGAACCGAAATTCAGACGGCATGGAAGCGGAATTTGAGCAACAATCAGTTACAAACATACGACGAAGTTTAAACGGTATTATAACGAACGTGTGACGAAAATAAGAATGACATCAACATCGAACTAAATTAAATCGAACGTAACACGAAATTAACGCAAAGTTAAGAACGAATTTAAAACGACATTGAGACGACCTTGAAAGGACACATCAAAACGAAATGACTACCAACTCAAACGAACTTGCAACGAACGTACAACCAACTTATAACAAAACGATGCGAATTCAAAACGAAAGCATAACGAAATTACAAACGGAAGCGAAACGGAGTTCATTCGAACATAGAACGGAAATACAGCGCAATGAAACAGCGAATTCAACGCGAAATTACATTGAACGTCTATCGAACGTAGAACAACGTGCTACCGGAGGAAAAACCCAATCAGAGCCTTTTAAATCTTACATGACGTCTATTCGGTCTACTAGGCCTATTGGGGCTATGGGGCTATATGGCTATAGGGCTATATGGCGCTTGGGCTGTTGGGCTGTTGGGCTGTTGGGCTATAGGGCTACAGGGCTACAGGGCTATAGGGCTACAGGGCTACAGGGCTACAGGGCTAGAGGGCTAGAGGGCTAGAGGGCTAGAGGGCTATAGGGCTGTAGGGCCATTGGGCTATAGGACTATGGGGCTATAGGGCTATGGGGCTATAGGGTTATATTGCTATATTGCTAGAGGGCTAGAGGGCTGTAGGGCTATAGGGCTATAGGGCTATAAGGCTATAGGGCTATAAGACTATGGGGCTATAGGGCTGTAGGTCTATAGGGCTATCGGGCTATCGGGCTATAGGGCTATAGGGCTATAGGGCTATATGGGCTATATGGGCAATTGGGCTATTAGGCCATAGGGGTATAGAGCTATAGAGCTATAGGGCTATAGGGCTATAGGGCTATAGGGCTATAGAGCTATGGGGCTATAGGGCCATAGGGCTATAGGGCTATAGGGCTACAGGGCTACAGGGCTACAGGGCTACAGGGCTATAGGGCTATAGGGCTATAGGGCTATAGGGCTATAGGGCTATAGGGCTATAGGGCTATAGGGCTATATGGGCTATAGGGCTATAGGGCTATAGGGCGATAGAGCACCCGGGCACCTGGGCACCCGGGCACCCACGGGCACCCGGGCACCTCCGGGCACCCCCAGGCACCTCCAGGCCCCCCCCGGGCACCTCCGGGCACCCCCCGGGCACCCCCAGGCATCCGGGCACCCAGGCATTTGGGCCGGCCACCCACAGAGGCAAGCTCTGATTGGGGAAAATGCACGATTCTTTTTACACGAAGTGGAAGCGATATGTACACAATAGCAAAGAGAAATCAAAGGGACATTAACGCGAACGTGAGACGAAATGAAGACATCTTTTAGAAGACGACATGGCAACGAAATTGTATAACACCGAATTTAGACTAAAAAGATCTTACAAAAGGAAATAACGCGAAACTCAAATAACATTTAAATAAATGAGAGTCACATTCAGACCCCAGGGATTTCCAATCGGAAGCCAGTAAAGCGATGACGCTTTTGCGCTTCTCGTCAGTCGAATGGGAGAGCCGCAGTGCCGTCGTATTCGCTGTGAAAATCGAATGGCACGGGCCGCAGCAACGTTGACGAAACGAAAAACGAACGGCTCTGGCGAGTTGAAGAAAACGAAATCGAATATCCGCGCGACAGTTGATATATACAAAAAAAGACGGAAACGAGGTCTATAAACAAAATTGAAGTTTTCGTCATCTCGCAGTGTATCCGCCCTCGTCTTTCTAATCTACGTCCCAGTCCTCTTGCTCGCCCCCTCCTTCGTGGCTCCTTCGTATCACCTGGCCAGGTCCTTCGCCAGCATATTTATGTTGGCGGGGATTACGGAGTGCAGATTTGAGAGGAGAAGGCAGGGAGCAGAGGGTTTTTCATTGCACCGCATTCGTCATTGCTTTCGCCCACCACCAGCTGGCTATCCTTTATCACATTTCAAGTGCGAGCAGTAGGTCTCCTCTGGTGTAATGAACGACCTTGTGTATGGGTTATGGGGATGATGTTGGCCTCTTTGGAGCATTCTTGGGGCGTCTCCAGTACCTCGATTCGTCTTGGGGCCGTCTGGACGCCCGTTCGCCGCATCCCGAAAGCTATCGGGGTGAAGGCAGTTTGACAACTTGGCTTGATGTTGGAGGCCATCTGGAAGGCTTTGGGGCCATCTTTGAGCCACCTTTGGCCATTAGGGGCCATCTGAGAGCTTGCCAGGATCCCCCCTCCCGAAACGGGCCAGACTGGGCTCCCAGGGGAGGATTTCGGGGATGGGAAACAATCTCACATACCGAATAAACCTCAGCGGGTCGGCGAATTCCAAGTTGGAGACCATCGGCAAGGTGATCGAGAACGTGTCCACGAGGGTATTGCCCAACATGGAGAGGACGCTGCAGGTCTCCCCGAACATCACCACCTTCGTGGGGTCGTTCCTGAACATGGCGCGCCTTGAAGTGGGCGGCCTGCAGGAGGCTGCCCACAGCATGGTCACTAGGGCCAGCCCCATCATCGCCGAGCGGGTGCAATGTACCTTCAGCAGCGCGCGCCAGCGCATCGGCCTCAACCTCCTCAGCGCGGTCGTGGTGTTCGCCACCCCGTGGCTCTTGCATTGAGTGTCCGGGCTCTCGTTGTAGTTTTCGTTGGCATGGGAGCTTAACGCAGCTTCATTGACAATATCGTTGTCTTTGTGCCTTTGCGGCATGGAGCCATCATCGCCAATATTTCAACTTGCGACGAGCCTTAGGCGTGGAGAGCGCGTCACGGAGGAATGATCAACTTATCATTCTTCTCGTCATCCTTTTTCTCAGTGTGTCCCTCCTCCGCCTGAATCCCGTATCCCGTCCTCTGCCTCATCGGTGTCCGCATGCTCCTCTGATCTTCCTCATCCTTCTCTGTGTCCCTCGCATCATTATGGTTCTGGTCCTGCGAAGCCACTTGGCTCAGGCCGCCGTGGCCCCAGATGGCTCGGGCCGCCCTGGCTCTGGCCGTCTCTTGGCAAGTTCAACATGTACGCGCACTCAGTGTCCTTGTGGATCCTCACCATGCCGATGGGAGGATCGGCTTATCGCCGTGTCATGTTGGTCATCCGGAGGGCCAGATGGGCCCACTCACAGCCGAGCAGGCCCTCCAGGGAGCCAGAAGAAGCCATCAGAGTCGGCTGAGGTCTGGCCATGTTTGGCCTGCTCCTGTCTCTGGAGGGTATGTCTGGCCAATGATTTCAGGGTCCATTTCGATCCGGGCGATCTGATTCGATATCGATTCCATGCGGCTCGATCCGATTCGATTCCGATATTCCGACAATCCGATGCGGCCCGATGGTCGATGGCGTTGTTATGCATCCCAGCACAGCCGATCCGATTATATTCCGATTTTGTTCCGAGGCAGCGCGATTTGACGCACATTCCAATTTGGTCCGATTTTCGATTCGATGCTGACTGCTTATGTGATTTCAGGCCTCGCCTGGCCCGTAGGGTTGCCAACCGATCACGGGTATCACAGTATTTTGACCCAAAGGATTGGGTCACCAGCGTGATTCCAGTGAACAGTCAGGAGGGCAACACGACCTCGGCAGAGCACGCGCCAGGCTTGAGGAAGCTGGAAGGCTATCAGAGAGAACGTGGCGATTTGGAAGGGGCACGGCTAGATGTCATTGTTTTCGGGATCATGCGAAGCTTTCAGGAGACTTGGCCGAAGGTTGAAGACCAGCTACAGCTGCCTCAAATGGAGTCACGCGGCGCAAGGGTGAATGTAATCGTCAGCACTACGCTGCAAGTCCGGTGCACAGAAAAAGATTACAGCGAGGGCTTCTGCTCCGAGGAGTGGACACGGTGGAGCGAGGACGAGTTCAAGCAGGCAATACGCTCGACTTACGGACCTCGTTTGCGATACATATATGATACATCCGCCACGGCTGTTGACAAAGTGCGCGCGTTATTGCAGTCTGATGAGGGCTCACTTCACACGATCCTGCACGACAAAGCCCTGCGACTTTGGAGTGGCATGAATCCTTCCCATTCGGGTATTACCATCGTTTTGAGAGCGGACGTTCACTTCGACTACCGAACGAAGCACGTAAACATTGCTTCTCTGTGCGATTCGCAACCAGGATACAATTTCATAAGTGGTCCTTGGGAGCGTCCTTGTTTCTGGCACCAGCGGGATTGGGATCTGGGAGCTGTCGCTTGTAACCCGCGGGTCTTGCAGTTCGGCATCACGCCTCATTCTATGTGTGACTCTCAATGGGATGGGTGCGCCAATGGGTCTGATGAGCCACCACCGCTTCCGGAAGGATTCTCTGGTTCTTGGAAGGACAAATGTGGTGATGAGTCGCTACGTGCCTGCAGCACATACCAGTGCAACCAAGTTCTCACATTCATGAACAGTGGCGAGCATTTGGGAACTTTGGATACCTACGGCATTTTCCTCACAATACACCGCTACGGGGAGTGAGGACAGGAAGAAGCTTGTGACGGCTTGCGTGTACTTGTCTTCGTTCCAGTGGACAAAATCTGAAGGCACGAAAGCCAACGTAGTTGCGCTCGCGTTTCATGTAGGTTTATTATTGATGTGTTTGTCTCGTGAGATTAAGCATCTGGGGACTCAGGTCCTCCAGGGACTCTTGGGACCGTGAACGCATGAGTTGGGGTTGTTGCTCGATTCTGGAGCAGATGCTCCGCGTGGAAGATTGCCTCAGATCTCCCCCCCCTGAGTGAAAGCCTCATGGGGCAGAGTCCCACCGAAGCTCCAGTCGAGAGGGTCGGCGATGGCGACTCACTTATCACAGCTGCGGAACCCGAGGACGATATGCTATCTCGCATTCGGGCTCCCTGTTAGACAGAGGCGCGCCGAATCCTGGCTTTGCGTTAGAGTAGCCCTTCGCCAGAGTGACCTTTTGTGCGGGCCCACAGGGGTCCCCCCATCACTGGTTCGCGCGCCTGGATTTGCTTCCCCCCGCCCCACCCCACCCCCACTACTCGCGGCCCCCCGAAGCCGCCCCCCAGAGCTCACCCCTGCGTGCAGCCGACGAGCACTGCAGGAGTGTGGCCTGGCGGCACACTGGGCCTCGAGACGAAATCCTGAGGCGACCTCCCCAGCTACCAGTGGCGACTGCGCCCCCAAGCGCGCCCTTGTGCCCCCTCCACCAAGGGGCCTTGGGCCAGGGTGGCCCCAATTGTTCAGGGGCCGCTCAGGCTAGCTCCAGATCGCCCATCGAAAGCGCAAGCCCGCTTGGCGTAATCAGGCTTCATTGGCTCAATCCTGGGCTCAGTCTGGTTTGCTCTGGTAGCCCTGAATCGATCCCACGACCACCTCCCAGCAGTTTGTCCCCTAGCGAGAGGCCCGAGGGGCTCCCAGAGGGCGCGAAAAGCAAGGGACAGCCTGGCCCGGGATCACCTTCGGCAGCCCTCGACCCTCGAGAGGGTGCGGCGCCCTCGAGGGGTGGGGGGGCTGCCGCCCGCCCGCCGCCTCGTCGCCTGGCGGCGGAGGGAAGGCAGGAGGCTGCTGGGCCTGAGGCCCCCTGGGCTCCGAGCGGGTGGGGTCGGAGGCCCGCGCCGCACCGCCGATGCATCGGCGGTGCGGCTCGACGTGGAGCCCGAGTTACTCCACGCCGACGGTGCCGGTGCATCGCCGACGTCGCCGCCGATGCAACACCGATGCATCGGCGATGCATTGGCGATGCGGCGCGATCCTCCGACCCCATCTGCTCCGACCCCATCTGGGAGGCCTCTGTCCATGGGCGGAGGAGGGGGAGGAGGAGAGGGGGAGGACGGTTTTCCTTTTTGCGCAACGACATCTGTACACCGACGTGGGCTTTCGATAATTCTGGTGGCCCTCATACTGGTTTCGCGGAGGTCCCGTTGCGAGTCAGGCTGCGGCTCGAGATGTGGTCTTTCTGGGGCGCGGGACGCATCAACACGTCATTCCGACATGTACGGAGCAAATGCTGTTACATGTACGGTGTTTGTTGGGGATTGTTATGCTGCCCAGTAGTGATCGGTTCTGGAGGCCAAGTAAGAGCCTCATGTTGCTCCAAGACTCGGTCCAACATCGCCCCCAAAGGGCAGCCCGAGAACAATACAGATGTGACGTTACGTTTGACGTCATGACGTCGTGGCGCCCCTGCTTCTCCTCCGCTTGCAGTTCATCTCCCTCCCCCCCCGCTTTCTAATCTCACTGGACGCTTCGCCTTTTTGCTCTTCCCCTGACCTACGAGTGCATGCTCTCGGCTTCGCCCAGCGCGGGCGCCAGGGCCACATCCGTGTTCGGGGGGCGGCCGCGGCCCTCGCCTGCGTTCTGCGCGGGCGGTCTGCCGTCGTAGGTGGACTCCCGCTGGTCGCCGCCTGGCCTCCCGCGCTTCTGGGTGGCCGAGGCACCTGGCGCAGCCGTTAGCGCGTCGGACTTGGCTGTATGGGGCACGGGCAAGGGAAGGGCGCATGGCGCGGGCTGCGGCCCGCGGGAGCGGTGATGAGCAGCTGTCTCGGGCCCAGCGCGTCGTGTGACAGACCAGAGACAGACAATACTCATGACCTGGGACGCATTCCGACTCGTGTGCTCAGGTCTTTGGGTATGGTCCCCAGGGGTCTTTCAGGCCTCTCTCTATGTCTAGGTGTGCAGCCTCTGTCCAGGCGCCTCTGTCTAGGGGTCTCCAGGTGTCTCCTTGGCGTCTCGTCAGCACGCTTCGGCCCCTCATCATGTATCTCCTGCACACTGTTCTCGGCCTGTCGGCAGATTCGGTCTCCTCACGACCGGGTCGTTTAGCTGGCCGGTCGCGAAAACCAGCGCGCAGAGGCGCGTCACTTGCGACAGGCGTCCGGACTTCTTCGCTTCAATCGTGGAATCGAGGAGGGGGGCGTTGGGGATTAGCGCCCAGCGACTATAATGCAACGCAGTGCCACTTGCCGACCATCTGTGCCTCCTGTGGAATTCATATGGGGCCACGGAAAGTATGGGGAGGGTGCCAGAATGGGCGTGGTCACGTATGCGGATTTTGCCATCTGGGCCTCCTGTGAAGCCCTTGTGGGGCCACGGAACGTGCGATGGGTGTGCCAGAATGGTCGTGGTCACGCACGCGGACTTTGCCATGTGGGCCTTGTGAGGAGCTCCCGCGGTGCCACAGAACGCATGAGGGGTGCGCCGAAGCACAGGCGTGCGGAAAGCAGAGGCAGGAGTGAGCGGGAGAAGGATGACAACGCGGGGCGCTGCTGAGTCAAGACGAGGACCCGGCACCACTAGCTGGTTAGGAAACGGGCCCCTGGGACGGGTCGACAGTCCGCGCCGCGAAGACACCGCAGGAGGCGAGGCATATTTTCTGCCAGCATCACACGGCAAGGCGACTGCAATCAGTCCTGAGTACCCTCTGCTGTAGATGGGCGTTCGACAGGCCATTTGCAATGGGCGTCCATGCAGATGGACGCAGAGGCCGGGGGCTGGTCTTGTCACCCGTGGTTCGCCCGTTCCGGCGGCCATGTGCACGGGGCGATCACGCAAGTGTTTCCCGTAGCCCATAGCGCGAGCAAGCGTCCGATTTCCGGTGGGGGGGGGCTTGCAGGGGGAAACGTCTCAAACGCTTGGAATCCCCTAACGTGTTATGCGCAATATGGAGAAGGAGAGCTGTGTACATTGGCGGAGGAGGAGGAGGAGGACGTGGCGGATGAGCAGGAGGATGAGCAGGAGGAAGAGGAGAGAAAAGGACGAGGAGGAACAGCAGCAGCAGGAGCACGAGCGGGGAGGAGCAGGAAGACCAGGGGAAGGCCGGGGAGGGAAAAGGATAGGGGCGACAACGACGAGGAAACAGTCGGATCGAAGACTGTGGCCCGCGCTGAGAAGATGTCGCCATTCTGAACGACGGGAGCGCAACGCAGATTCTGCAAATATGCCAACGCTGCAGCGGAACCACCGCTTTGAAACACCGAAAACGCTCCGATTGCAAAACAACCGTTGAAATAATACAGACTTTGAGTTCCTGTGTGTCAAGAGCAATGCACGGAGAGGGCGGGATACTTTCAGGACGTAGTCGTGGGAGAGAGGAGGGTAGTACACACATGGAGTAGTTGTCGAGGGCGAGGACGAGGAGGAGGAGAAGGAGGAGGAGGAGGAGCAGCGGAAGCGGGAGAAGAAAGGCGACGAGGATGAGGAGCACCAGGCTGCGCAGCGGTCTCGGGCAGAGTCTTCAGGGCCCTCGACCGTCTCGGCGCCGTCCGGCGCTGCGTCGCCCGCAGGGCCTTGGCGTGCTGCCGCCCGGCTATGCCCAGGCGCAGCCGCCGCACCGCGCAGCGGGCACGGCCACAGAGGATCCCCAGGCGTGGTCCCCGTCGTTCTCTCCTCGCCGCCCTCCTTCTCCTCGTCGTTCTCGCTCGCCTCCTCCTCCTCCTCCTCCTCCTCCTCCTCCTCCTCCTCCTCCTCCTCCTCCTCCTCCTCCTCCCTCGTCGCCGCCGCCGCCGACGGCGGGGGGCGGGCGCCCTGGGCCCCTTGGCGAGCATCGCGCCTCCCAGGGCCCCGCTGTGCCCACGGCCGCCCCTGGCGTGGTCCTCCTCGTCGTTTTCGTGCTTTTCCTCATCGCGAAGAGAAGGAAGAGACGACAGGCGTCAAGTTTCGAGGGTCCGCGCGGATCTTCTTGGATCTGCGTTGGACCCCCCTGGCCAGGCCTTCAGCGCCCGTCGTGGCGCGTTCCGCGCACCAGTGAGGGGGTCAAGCGCCGACCAGCAATTCCGCGCTGACTGTCGAAAGGTATTGTGTGTGCAGCGTTTTCTGTTTGGTTATTATTATTATTATTATTCGTATTTGTCCCAACCACCCTGTGGTGTTGGGCCTTCGTTTTGAGGAGACAGCACCCCGCGTTCACTCGTCCTTCCTCCTCCTCCCCGTCTTCCCTCCTCCCATCATCATCACCCATTCCGGTACACCCCTCACACGCCTCGTGGCCCCATAGGGAGCTCCACCGAAGGCCCCAGTGGCTGCGTTCGCGTTGCGTTCGCACGCGGTTCCACCCCCCATTTCGGCACATCCCTCACGCGCTTCGTGGCCCCATAGGGAGCTCCACCGAAGTCCCCAGTGGCGTGCGCGAACACGCTTCGTGGCCCCATAGGGAGCTCAGCAGGAGGTCCCAGTGGCTGCGTTCGCGTTGCGTTCGCATGCGGTTCCACTCCCCCCTTTCGGCACACCCATCACGTTTCGTGGCCCCAGAGGGAGCTCGGCAGGAGGTCCCAGTGGCTGCGTTCGCATGCGGCTCCACTTTCGGCACACCCCTCACACGTTTCGTGGCCCCATAGGGAGCTCCACCGAAGGCCCCAGTGGCTGCGTCCGCATGCGGTTCCAACCCCCATTTCGGCACACCCCTCACACGTTTCATGGCCCATTAGGGAGCTCCACCGAAGGCTCCAGTAGTTGCGTTCGCATGCGGTTCCACCCCCTATTTCGGCACACCCTTCACACGTTTCGTGGCCCCACAAGGA